TTTAGAAATGTAACGTATTATTTTAACGTGGTAGCAGAGCGTGGTTTAAGATATTGATATTTAAAGTTGTAGTTCAAGAAAAATTATGTTTTATTTGCGGACTGAACACTGAATTTTGAAAAATAAAATGTCAAAAGAGAAAGAAGAATTTTCTATACAAATATTAGACGTAAATAATTATGAGAAATGGAGATATAGACTGAAATTATATTTGGAGATGAAAGGTTGTTACGAGGTCATCACAACAGAGAATAAACCAGAAAATATTTCAAACATTGATTGCGTTAAAATGGAGCTAAAAGCGAAAAATTATATTGGTAGCACTCAATTGGAAATAATAATATCTGAAGATAAACCTGCTAAAATGATACAAAAGTTTGATACTATTTACCAAGCAAAAACATGTGCAAGCAAATTGCTGTGCAAAAGGAAATTACTAAAATTAAAAATGGCGGATGATGACAATCCAGTCGAATTTTTAAATTTGTTCGAGAAGAATATAAACGAATTAAAAAATGCCGGAGAGAAAATGAATGAAGAAGACAAATTAAACTATTTACTATTGAGTCTTCCACCCAGATGCTCACATATAGTTGACATTGTTGATGCATTGCCAGAAACATCGGTAGAATATATTAAGGCTAAATTGCTTCTGCAATACAGACAAAAGGAAGATAAAGAGAGTGATGTGAAAGGAATGGAATCTTTCAATATTCGCAAAAAAATGTCGACATTACAAATAAGAAACTATTGTAAGTGTAATCAACCGGGCCACTTCCAAAGAGACTGCCCGAAAAATAGAACATTTATTCCAAATTGGCGCAGAAATTATAACTTTAGAGGGAATAGTAACATACGAGGATATCATAACTGGAGAGGTCAAAATTACAGACGACAAAGTAACTTCCGAGGAAAACGTAATACGTAAACGTAACTTGTAAAATGTCAGAAAAGGAAAAATGGCACAGAGTTCTTGGGCACACCAATTTTATAAATTTAAAAAAGTTATGTGAACAAATATTATTGCACGGCTTACCCGAATAAATTGAAAATGATTGTATACAGTGTAAAATATGCTTACAGAATAAGATGTTTAACTTACCTTTTGAGAACAATCGACGACGAGCGAATAAAGTTTTAGAAATAGTTCATACTGACGTAAAGGGTCCAATTAAATCCCACAGGTATTGATGGTGAACGCTATTTTGTATCTTTTATCGATGACTATAGTAGAGTTGCTAAAGTTTTTTTGCATTTTAAATACAAAAGTTGGAATGTTTCTTGGAATACATGAATTTTGTTGAAAATGCAACTGGGGAAAGAATAAAAGAGCTGCGATGTGATAATGGAAGAGAATACATCAATAAAGATATGTACAGATTGCTAAAGAAAGAGGGATATACATAAATCCATGTCCACCATATACATATGAATTAAACGGAGTAGCAGAAAGATTTAATAGATCAGTAATGGACAGAGTTAGATGTTTATTATCAGAAGCAAAAATTGAAAAAGAATACTGGCCAATATGTGTAGAGACAGCAGGATAAATAGGAAATAGATTGTTAAGGAATACAGCGATTAAAAAGACACCATATGAAATATTTACTGGAAAAACACCAGTAGACAATTGGAAGTAAAGTATTTGTGTAAATAATTCCTGAACAAAGACCAAATTCAAAATTTAATCCAAAGGCAGTAAGAGGTATTCTAGTTGATTATACAGATACCTACAGGATACAAAATCTTAGTAGAAAATGGAATAGTTACAAGCAGGCACGTACGATTTATGGATAAAACAGTTAGATTGATCGAATACAACAGTGAAGATGAAGATAAAAGAGAAGTTGATGATAATTTTTACTAAACCAGCGCAAGACACGGAGACTACTAATATAAGAGAGATAGACAATGAAAGAAACAATGAAAACGAAAATGAACAGGAATTAATTGTATATGGAAGACCCCAAAGAACCAAAAAGATGCCCGACAGATATAAAGACTATGTTGTTTATGTGAATATGTGTAATGAAAATGTCCCTGAAAAGTATGAAGAGGCGATAGCTTGTTCTGAATCTGTTAAATGGCAAAAGGCTATGCAGTCAGAGATAAACAGTTTGAAAAGAAATGGAACTTGGAAGATAGTAGATGAACCAATAGACAGAAATATTATTGAAGTTAAATGGATTTATACGATTAAATCAAGTGGTATATATAAAGCAAGAGTTGTGGCTAAGGATTTTCAATAGATGCATGAAAAAAATGAAGAAATATATTCACCAGTGGCTAGAATGACCACTTTAAAAGTATTGTTATCGACTGCTTGTGTACGTGCGTGGTATATTGAGCAGATGGATGTGGAAACTGCTTTTTTAAATGGAGCCATAAAATCAGAAGTTTACATATATCCACCAGACGGTTATGACATTCAACAAAATAAAGTTTGTTTATTAAAAAGGGCACTCTATGGACTGAGAGAAAGCCCACGAGATTGGTATGACTGTATTCATGACTTTTTTTGTAGTATAACTTTCAAAAGATCTACGTATGACTACAGGACGTTTAAATGGCAAGAAAATATATATAATTTTATACGTAGATGATTTGTTAATCTTTGGCGAAGACAAAACGAGTATTACGAAAGGTAAAGAATTGTTAAGCGATTGTTTTCGTATGAAGGATTTAGGATGTGTAAAACAGTATATAGGTGTCAACGTTGATTACAAACCAAAAGTATTTAAGCCAAGATAAATACATTGTGTTTAGCTGAGAAGTACAAAATTACTGATTCAAAACCAATTCATACACCTATAGAAATAAATTTAAAATTGGAGCCTGCACAAGAAGTAAATAAAAATTACAATATAGAAATTTAATTGGAGTACTTTTGTATGTGGCAAATGGAACAAGACCAGATGTAGCTTACTCAGTAAACTATCTAAGCAGATTTCAAAACAGTTATGACGAAACTCATTATAAATATGCTTTACGAGTACTGAAATACTTATATCACACAAGAAACCTAAAATTAGTTTATGGAACAACTTTTGATGAAGTAATGAGTGCATATGTAGATGCTGGTTGGGCAGATGATATACAGGATAGCAAATCCACGAGCGGAATAGTTATTGAAGTGTTTGGTAATGTTCTGATGTGGAGGTCACAAAAATCGAAGATAGTTACTAGAGCTTCTAGGCATGCTGAGTATTATGCCCTTGCCAATTGTGTTGAAGAGGTGCTACCTATCCTATAAGAGTTGTTTTAAGCGATTTAGATGTGAAAATAGAGGATTGTGTGAAAATATACGAAGATAATATAGGTGCTAAAAATGGTAAATTTCCTGAGAACTCTAAGCACATTGACATTAGTTATCATTTTGTTTATGATTATGAGTAGAAAGGCCTCATTAGTGTACAAAAGATTCCTTCAGAAGATCAGGTTGCTGATTATATTGACTAAAGCTCTGTGTAAAGTAAAATTTTTGAAGTTTAGAGAATTATTAGGTATTAATGTTCAATAGATTAACGTAAACGTAATATTAAGGTACTTTATATTAATGTAGTGTGTTTTTCCAATTATGAGATACTAAATCAAGAAGGCATGTTGGAAATATGATTTAGTTTCTCAAAAGGCTATGTTCCAAAATTTTGAAGAAAGTGAGATTTATTTTATGTTCTAAGTTTTTGTTTTTGTCTTTGGGGAGTGTATGTAAGATGTAAAATGGTTGACTATTTAGAAATGTAACGTATTATTTTAACAAAATTAACAATTTGCACAAGATTATTGTTTCCCCTGTTCTAACCGACTTAAAAAAAGGAGGAGGTTCTCAATTCGTCATGTTTTTTTTTTGTATGTCTGTTACGCGATAGCTCCGCCATTTGTGAACCAATTTTGATGATTCTTTTTGTTGGAAAGAAGGTACCTTAGATGTGGCGCCCATTTAAATTTCAAGAAAATATTCCGCCTCTAAGGGTGGCAAACCAGAGGATTAATGACTTTTGAGGTCATTCATCAACCGGAGGTTAGATTCGTTGTTAAATTTATTTTAATCTGAACACTACTCCACCATTTTACAGCTAATAAAATGCTCAACCTTTTAGAGGAAGCCTGCGACTAAAATAATGGCAGAGAAATGTGGTGTAGAGAAAATAAGAAATGAAATTAATTCAGACTGGTTGTAAGATGTACATTTTGAAAATCTATTGGAAACACAAATCATTGTACATTTAAGTGAATTGAGCTCCAGCTCGAGTGAAAAAGATGCAGATGACGTTAGTTGTGTACCTTCAGAATATTTTTTGTGTAAATTTAACACTTACCTGTTTTTCAAGATCCAATTGTCTTTAGCCTGTACGCAAGTTTTAGTGATGTCAGGCGGATATGAATACTACTATACTATATTAGTAACTAGTACCAATGATACTAATGGACTCAATCTGTCAAAAATGGGATGCCATCTTCTTTTACTCTACTTCGTTAATTACCACTATGTATTTTTAACCGACTTCAAAAAAAGGAGGTTACGCGATAACTCCGGTATTTGTGAACCGATTTTCAGGATTCTTTTTTTTGTTGGAAAGAGGGTACCTCCATAGTGGTACCATTTCATTTTGAAGAAAATCATCCACCTCTAAGGGCGGCTGATGAACATTCATTTTTATAAATAGCGCCTAAATTTTACTTGAGCAATTATTTTTATGTTTGGTTTTGCTATTCTCCAATTCAAGTAGTTTTTCTCTATAATATACTTTCGAGTATAGTGGTGAACTAGAGGATATTTCAATAAAATTTAGCAAATAGATGTAATTCCACGTATTTTTGTGGTCGGTTTTTTTAGTACTCTGTACTGAGATTATTAATGTGTCGTATGTGTCTGCCCTAGTAATCTTCCTACTTATCTATAGATTTAAACAACGTTTTATGTACAACATCGCAAATTAAAGATCTATTAACATTATATAATTAGGTAACGTTAAAACGAATGAAACAAATTGACTATTAAATGCAAAATTTATTACAAAACAATAACAGGAATGCGTGAAATACAAAAATATGAAGTACCTATATTGCTTTTATATTTTTCACATCACAGAACATTTACCATATTACAAAAGCCCCGATGTTTTAAGAAACAAAATTTTATACACTATATATTTCAATGGGTTTTAGGACAAGCCGTTTTTCGCAGGTACTTCTTACCGGAGGGCAGAGGCACTACAGTGACCCCTTGCGGGAACACACTGGTTAATTTGTCATCAGGTACGGTTGGTAGCACCATGCATTCGCCGCCCATCTACAAGAAATCATCGATTAGATTCGCCTATACAATAACTAAAATAAAATTAAATAGTACACCTATATAATGCTAGTGTTAGGCAGAAAGAGAAAGCAGTGCACCAGAACCAGATTAGAGAACATGACTTCAACACTTTATATACCGGACTTATCACCGTGATTGTTCAAAGATTATTTTATCAAGCTGCGAGGCCGCGGGTTTGTGAAACATTTCGGCGGGGTAATTTTCATAGATCACACTTTTTCTTAAATTAACGTTGTAGATTTGCAGATTTTTGAAGGTTACATTCTTAACACGGAACCTCGTGTAACAGTAAGGTTCAATGGACATTCAAGGTCATGGAGAGTTACTACCAAATAGTAAATTGGCACAGATTTCATTGTCAGTCTCTTACCGAATCTGGACGGTGCTAAATGGCGCACCGGTGTGGGTCGGGGCTCTGCCCGGCCCGAACAGGGCCGAGCTGTGTAAAGTACAGCGGGTCATGGCGGTCAGAGCAACACGAGTATACCGCAACGTGTGGTACTGCTGCTGGGGTTATTGCGGAGGTGTGTAGGCAGTGCGCAGACGGACTAGTCCGGGAAGAAAGACTGACCCCCGAGGAGTTCTTGACTGGATAGGATCCGTCCAACGGAAAGTGCGTGCGAAATGGCGATGTCGGCTGGAGAAGCCGAGCGCCGGCGAGCGGACTGTGGCGGCTGTTCGTCCAGTCCTCAAGAGACGGGTAAGCATGCGACACGATTCGCTTATTTACCGGTTGGTGCAGATCCTGTCGGGGCATGGTAGCTTCGGCAGGTATCTGTGCCCTATAGTCGATAGAGAGCCACTGCCGGTATGTCACCACTGCTCTTGCTGTGAGGGCACTGCCGACCATACGCTAGAAGAGTGCCAAGCATGGGCGCGACAACGCGCTACCCTCGCTGCAGTAGTGGAAAATGACCTCTCGCTGCCGGTCGTCGTCAAGGCCATGGCCGCAGACGTGGCATCATGGGAGGCGATGGCCTCATTCTGCGAGGAAGGGATGGCATGGGAGGCCGCGGAGAGTAGTCGAGAGGACGATCCACCCTCGCCTCTAATCCCCAGGCGGAAAACGGCAAAGAAGGTGGGCTTATGTGGGTGTGAAGTGTGTGAAGGTGGGCCCACCTGCTTCGTGGTGTGGAATCCTGCCGCTCATACATAACGTAAATGGGTTGCTTAGCCTAATTCCAGGCAGCCCACTTCGATTAGGAGAACGGGGTGAACAGGTATACTAACCTGGACTCTGGGAGGGTCAGTTCCATGTCTTTCTACATAAGTTTTGTTTATAGTGCCACTCGCTATCAACCTCTTGGTTATGCGGTAAGGGCACTATGACCTGTGCAAACAAACTTGCATAGGGACCATCAAGTGAGATCCCAACCCCGGATCAGCACGTTTGCACGCACTTCGTCCGGTTCTCTGTAAGGCTAGTGCCTTAGGTGAGCCGCCCCGGGTGCACGTAGAGTACCCTCCCTATTTTCCATATAGGATAGGTACCGGAGCTGTAGGCACGCTCACTTCCCGTCGCGCTCGGCACAACTAACAGTTGCCACCGCTGAGCTGTCGACAGCCGACTATCAAATTTCCTCATTGGTGGCGGAGCTGTAAGGCACTCACTTCCGGCATTGTCCTGCGACAATGTCCGGACATAGCCACCGGCTTAACGAGCAACTCACGTGCTCCGCGCGTCTCCTCGCCTCAGGCCCTCAACTAGACTGCACCTAAGACGCGCCAGCTGCACTTGAGACGAACGCCCCGATGATCTCTGGGAGGGTCAGTGCAAACGGACGGCACCGGTGGGTTCGCGGAAGAATGCGAAAACGTCCCAGCGTTCCCGCCACAAGGTGCGTGGTGGAACACCCCCGGAGTTTTAGTGAGTAGTCTCTTCTTAGAGAGGAGAGTCCCACACAACCCCGCGTCTCCCCCGGGTACGCAACCCAATTTGCTTGGGTTTCTGGAACATGTCTACAGCAGAGGCGGGTCGTCCTAAGGAGCGCTGGTGCATTTAACTCCCACTCCTATCCAACCCACCAATATAAATTTATTAATTATACTTTCATATTATATTAGTAGCCGCAGTCACGCAAAATAGGCGCCTTGACGTCGAGTTGCGGACACAGCCTGTTACACCAAGACCAAGTAGTAGCCGTAGTATTTTTTTTTATTAATGAACGACAAACACACAATTAGATTTTTATCTTTCTCTTTAGCATACTGACCCTTAAGTGGAGCGCTTCCAAAACACCATTTTATATCTGAGAAAAAGCGCAAGCCTATACAGTGTGGAACCGAAAGGGGCAGTGGAAATTGAAGGTCGTAGAGAGTTACTATCAAATAGTAAATTGGCATCGATATTTTTGTTGAATATTTTGTCTAATTAAATAAATTTAAAAAATTACGATATTTCGTAATTATCGGTATTAAAATCGAGCTCGAATATCACTAACCCCACACAACCTCTTGCTTTGAAGTTGAAAGTACGTGACGTGATAGATTTTATTTATTACAATACTTCTAAGCACATTTCACCAATACGTATTATAGCACATTTTGAGGTTGACAATACTGAAAGAACATATTTAATCTGATTTCATAGAATCACTGTAAAACGCTGCCCAGGATATTTGTATCCTGTTCAGTAGGTCTCGTGTGTAATCTATGTTTAACAGCATGAACTGTGACACGTGTTTGGAATAATTTTTAATCGTTATTTACATAGCACTAGTTATTTTATTTACTTCGTACTTAAAATTAGTAGAATTATAAGATTCAATGTACGGACACTTACTTTGTTTATTTTGTATTAATTTGTCAATGCCATTGTCACAATTTTACTCTATTATCCCTTTGATTATGGTTTCGTAACAAAAAAGTTTGTACTTACACTTGAAAAATCATAATTTCACTGTCTCACTAAAGAGTATCATCGGCCTAATTCAATAATGTCTCATTGATAATGATTTTGTGATTGTCTTAGTTTATATAACAACGCTGCTATTATGAGATACAAGTGTTAGACACCTACATACTTTAATAAGAATCGGTACAATAGGTCTACTTTCCCGATCGGTCCACTTTCATTATTCGTCTACTTTCCCGATCGGTCCACTTGTTCAAATGGTCGACTTTCCCGATTCGTCTATTTCCCATTTCGTCTACTTTCCCGATCGGTCCTCTTTCACTATTCGTCTACTTTCCCGATCGGTCCACTTGTTTTACCCGATTCGTCCATCTCGTTTCGTCTATTTTCCCGATCGGTCCACTTGTTTTACCCGATTCGTTCATCTCCCATTTCGTCTACTTTCCCGATCGGTCCACTTGTCCAAATAGTAACTTTGCAAGTTAATAAAATTTTACAAAAAAAAATTCATTTTACAAAATTTCAAAGGCAGTTTGTAATGGCATAATTGCAGATTGTCACGGAGCACATTTTATATATTTTTGATAATGGTGGCCGCTTTGCGCTAACCCAGATTTGAAAAAACTAAATCAAGTAGAGTTTTTTTAACCGACTTCAAAAAAGGAGGAAGTTCACAATTCGACTGTATTTTTTTTCAATTGTTTTTGTCAATTAAAATTTATAACGCACTCCCTGACTTTTTAAAATTAATAAACAGCCTAAAAATGTCTAAAAACCAACTTCGTAAACATCTGTCCCAAATATGCTACTACTCATTGCAAGAGTTTTTTAGTGACGAAGAAAATTATTCATAATGTTAAAAAAAATGAAAGTTAATATGTTATCTGTATTATAAAAATATGATATGATAGTCATTTAATAAAATAAATGCAGAATAATAATATCACGGAGTAAATAAACGCAATTATTATTATTATTATTATTATGCAATACTAAGATAATTTGACAATTAATTATTTATTAATAAATAAATTGATTTATTTTTAAATTACTTTAAATTTAAATTTGACAATCATATTAAAATTAAATCATTTGACTTTCTGAATATATTTGCTTAGATTTATTTATTTTCATTGTAATAATATTATGATTAAAAATTATGTAAAAAATTGACATTGCTGCGTCCTTACAGGGTACATGTTTGATACTTTACCAACTACTATAATACATAATGTAACAACGTGTTTTGCAAGAAACGATATTATTGTTATTATCATACTTTAAAATTATTTTAATGCTACTTTTTATAAAAAAAAAATATACCTATATTCTTAGAATAATAACGCATAGAATGATAGTTTCATTTCAAACGAACTGTCACAAGTGAGGCAAAAAGCAAATTCATGTAGGCGTAAGCAACTTGTAACTACGCTCGTCGGCACGCACACAAATATACAAATAATGATGCCATGGAATAACATTTCCCTCAAAAGTGGGTAATTGTATCTTGCTTAACTCATCATTAAGTTAAAGGTGCCTACAGATTTGCCCGACATTATCGATCAGGTGCCTACAGATATGCTCGGTTTTGTCGATGAAAAACGAATATAGCACTTATTTGTAAATCCAAGATGGCGGACACGATTTTTCAAAATATGCTATATGGGTATCCTCTTCGAGGTATTTGGGGATGCTCATTACGAATATGGCACTCATTTCTA